GGCCTATATCTGCCTGCAGTTAAAAAGTTCTCAGAAATAATCACATTTGTTTTGCTTAACCCATTTATGTACAATTATTCTAAAAAATGTTTAATGTAATACAAAAAATGCCATCGTCCTGAATGCATTTTACCATTATAGAATTGTGACTTTACAAGGGTAGTAATTTAGGAGGTGAAAATACTGTGAAATTACAAATGGCATGGAATTTGTGAAAGCACAACAACTGAAGGTCTATGAAACGTCAGTTAATAAAGCATTTTTTTAAACAATGGCACTTTAAAGTTTTGAACTAAAATATTATTTCAACCATATAGCCTGTGAATGAATATGTAATGTTTTTTTTTTTTTTTTTTTACCAGTGTCGGGAGTCAACCAGCTCTGGACGCAAACTGAGCTTTTTGAGAGTTTCATAACCAACCACCATGACTATTGCTGTGGGCGCTGAGGATATGATGCGAGCAGAGAGGCCTTTGGTCATCCCCCAGAATCCTTCCTCTCTGATCAGCTGGTTAAAGGTCTCAATGACTGATGTCCTGCCCTCCACCTGCCCAAAAAAAAACAGTCAGATATTTGGTTATTGGGATTTCTGGGGTTTAAGAAAAATTTACGTCAAAAACGAGAGAATTGGGGAAAGCACACATCAGAAAAATTAAAATATACAAGTGTAAAGAATTACACATATACGTCAAATCAGTTATGTTGTGTTGCTGGTTTGCATTGGTTGCATTTGAATTTGTTAACCTCATTTTACATAAGGCGGTTTTTGATAGTCATCTGTGTTTTGTTGTACATGTAAACACACTCATGCCAGCTATACATATCGGTTGTCTGATTTTTTACTGTGTTTAATGGAAATCACCTGAACCCGGGCCCTGATGACATCCATGGGGTTGGTGACAGTGGAGGCAGTGGCAGCTGCCAGAGGTCCAGCCACTGCCTGCAGCACTAGATGAGGGCAGTTACTGGGAGCCATCTTAGACAACTGTTCTGTGGAGCCAATAAAATTTCAACTGCTTCAGATTCAGCTGACATTATATCAGTCTCTAATGAGACTGACAGATTGCCAACTAAGACGACTTCTGTCCATGTGACTCTGAACAGTATTTTATCGATCAAAACAAAGATTCAAAGTACATAAAACTGGCATTGCCACTTTAATACATACACAATCTGCCACTAAACTGAGCAAATGCTTTGAAATGTTACACTACCTTTCAAAAGTTTGTTGGTTTAAAAAATAAAAATAAGAAAAGTATTTTATGATCACCAAGGCTGCATTTATTTGATCAAAACTACAGTAAAAACAGTAATATTGTGATATATTATTCTAATATAAAATATCTGTTTTCTATATTACCGTTTTAAATATGTAATTTATTCCTGTGATTGTGAAGCTGAATTTTCAGCAACCACTTACCAGTTAAATAATCAGTGACACACGATCCTTTAGAAATCATTCTAATATGCTGATTTTGTGCTCAAGAAAGATTATTTATTATTTTCAATGTGGAAAACCATTGCGATGCTTAATTTTTTTGTTGAAACCATGACGGAATGTATTTGAAACAGAAAATTTGTAACAGTGTAAAATTCTTTACTGTCACTTTTGATCAATTTAATGCATTATTGATTTTTGTTTTTATATTTATCAAAAAAGTGATGCTAGGGATCTCTTACCTGCATAGAAGTGGTAAAATGGCCACCAAACGGCACTGTTGGGGATGTATGTGAGGAGAGACGCCACATATCCTCGATTGAAGCCACGAATGCCATCCGCAGCAAATATCTGCCCAATAATGTCTCTAGTCTGACTGAAAAATACAGAGCGTGTTGCTCCCATTTTGGGTTTGACTTTAAAGCGGGTCAGATGCTCCCCTTGGCCCTGCATCATGAGCTGCTGCGATATGACGTCTATGGGAACAGTAATGCTCTGGGCCACCAGTGACGCCGAGCCTCCCGCCACCAATGATTTCAGTGTATTGTCTTTAGAATAGTTGGAGACATATTTCCTTACCAGCTCGTAAGTGGTTATGTACGCCTGCACTGATATGAGTGTGAGCGTGGTCACCATGAAGCCCCTGTAAAGTCCTCTCAGACCCTCAGCTCTCAGAATCTTTCGGAAGGCATCGTAGGTCCCAGTGTAGAGAGACCTCCCATTCTGAACCTGCAGCCTGGTGCGGATCAGTGTGGCCGGGTAGACTGTGGCGCGGATGGCCATGGTCATGAAGACTCCAAAGGAGTAGAACTTGCGTTTGTCCAAGTCCTCCCATTCTATGATCTGAATGTTGTGCTTCTGCTGCATGTTTCCTGCCTGTGATGCCCGGCATGAGTCCCAGGTCACCTGGTAAATACCAGGGGATGAATACATATGTAAATGGGATGGCTGACCCAAAATAAACATTCAGTCATCATTTACTCACCCTCATGTTGAAACTGAACCTGTTGAACTTTCTTGCTTTCGTGGAACACATAAATAGATGATAGGCAGCATCTTTTGTGTTCCACTAAAAAAAAAGCAAGTCATACAGGTTTGGAACAACATGAAGGCGAGTAAACGATGATTGAATTTGATAAGTGATGATTGAACGAGATGAGTGAATTATCCCTTTGATTAATAATAAATCGAGAATGTGATTAGGAATTGAGGTTGCACTACTACAAATGAAGATAACTTCTTGAAATTTCTGTCATCATTACGCCTACTTATCCTGATGTCATAGTATGATTTTCTTTCTTCTGCTGAACTCAAAAGATGGTATTTTGAAGAATGTTGGTAACCAGTTTTGGTGCCCATTGACTTTCATTGTATGGCCAAAAACCACTATGACATTTCTTAAATATCTTCTTTTATGTTCCAGAGAAGAAAAAAAGTGGATTGACATTTGAGTAAATAATGACAGAATTTTCACTTTCATTTTGGGGAACTAGCTATTCCTTTAAGACTTGTTGTTTTTGATACAGTAAACTGTAGTAGTCACACTATTAGCTCCTAAATCATCTAGTAAGTGCACCGGTTCATTATAAAGTCACGCTGCTTGCTGGTGCTGGTGCTCACACTATCTCTGTAACATAATACTGCGGTCTCAAATCATGCTCAAATAAACATTGCCAGGGTCGACGATTCAGGGTTCAGCTGCTGTGTAAATGCACAAAGTGATAGTCTGATAGCATGATCTGTACTGTAGTGGCTAGTTAGCACAGCTCTCATGCGGCTGAATGGACAGCTTTATCATCTGTGATCTCAGCTCGGTTACACTTGAGCAACAGCAGTGAAGGTCTTACCGTGCAGCAGAGATGATTCAGTGGTTATGACAACTGTAATGCCATATTTAGGTTGACATTGGTGTGTATGTTCAGGACAGGACAGCAGCACTAGTTACAGCCGCTCACTGGGTAGTGAACATGGTAGTGATCGGTGGCGAGTTCTCCGTCTTCTTCTGGCTGTTTACGGCGGTTGGCAAACAAACAAAAAGGTGCATTCCCGCCACCTACTGAGCTGGAGTGTGGATCATTGATGGAACGGGAAGAAAGACTATAAAAAAAATTGAAGGAAAGGGACCAATAATAATAAATTGCCTTCTAAATCCTCTTAAACAGATGCACCTTTCTTCAAAATTTAATTAATGCTTTATTTACTCTATAACTTCATTATTCCGCCGTTTTTTAAGTGTAATATTTTCCTATCCCCATTTCTTTTAACTCTTCCACCAGAATTATCCTTTCATTTTGATAAGCAGAGCAATATATTACTTGCTCTTCAGTTTCTGCTAATCCACATAGACTGCAATTCCCAGACTCATGTTTGTTCATTCTATACAGGGAATAATTAAGAGCTGTATGCCCAAGGCGAAGTCTGGTAATGATTGTGTCTTCTCTTCTACTGCCTCGACTTCCTCTTTCACCACCAACTTTATTTTGAATCTGATAAAGATGTCTTCCTCTTTCCTCCTCATTCCATGGTACTTGCCATTTGCCTTTTATAGCTGTTCTAATTATAGCCTTAACTTCTTCTTTACAAAGTGGAATATTCAGTTCTATTTAAGATCATTTCAGCGCCTCCTTTGCTACATGATCCACTTCCTCATTTCCATCTCCCACATGTGCTGGAACCCACAGGAAACATATTTCTTCCCAATATATTTACCCTGTACATACTTAAAATAATTTCATATAGAATATCTTGTCTTGAGGATCTCCCACTAATTAGACTTGATAATGCTTAGAAAGAATCAGAGCATATCACCACATTCATTGGTCGAGAATCCTCCATCCACCTGGTAGCTAACAATATTGCTGCCATCTCTGTTGTGTAAACTCCTACTTGGTCAGATACCCTTTTACCAATTTTAACTTGATAATGTGGGATATATACAGCTGCTGCTGAAGCTCGACCTGTTTCCGGATCTTTAGATCCATCAGTGAAAACTGTAATCATTGAACTATAAGTCTGCTCAAGATACTTAGTTATCACTCTATTTTTATCATTAATCATTTTTTTGCAAATGAAGATCTACTAATGGTAAAGAGAAGAGCCACGGTGACATGGGTGACCTTACTACTGTCGGGCTCAATTCTACATTTATGATCCCTCTCGATAGAGCGTCCTCTTCTGCAATCCATCCAAAACTATTAAGCTTGGCAGATTCATGTTCCCAACATTTTAACAACACTTTTTTTAATTGGATGAGTTTCATTATGTCCCTTTACTGATATCCAGTAATTCAAAATTAGTTTTATTTTTCTGATATCAAGAGGCATTTCATTCATTTCTGTAAGGCAGGAATACGAGAAGACCTGATAGCACCACAACATATTCGTAATGCCTGTGACTGAATCATTTCTACTTTATGCAGCAATGTTTTGGACGCAGACCCATATGCTATACATCCATAATCTATGGTTGACTTAATTATTGCACAATAAGTTCTCTTCAGTGAATGATGTCTGGCCCCCCAATCCACCCCAGCTAAACATCTTAAAATATTTAAAACTTTTTTGCATTTATCAACCATTTTTTGCATATGAATTCCAAATGTCAGTTTAGTATCCAGCCAAACCCCATACCTTAACACATTCACCTGTTCTAAAGGTTTGCCATATAGCTGTAATTTTCAGTTACATTGTCTCTTTTTGAGAAGCAGATAACCTGTGTTTTTGACACTGATAATCAGAATCCCCACTCATCTGTCCATTTCTCCACTTCATTAATTGCACTCTGCATACTTTTAACCACATACAAAACATTCCTCCCTCTCTTCCACAGTGCCCCATCATCTGCAAAAAGAGTCTTTTCAGCTCCTGCAAAAAATGGGAAAAAATGTCATTAAAGGGGTCATATGATGCTGCTAAAAAGAACATTATTTTGTGTATTTGCTGTAATGAAATGTGTTTATGCGGTTTAAAGTTGACCCCTTTAATCATTACACTAAATCACAGCTCTCTGGTCCGACTTTCTATTAAAGGTTAAAGTTCATCGAACGGGATGTTAGAAATACCGTAGGTGTCAAAATTCACACTTACACTAATTTAATTTAATTTTTTATTTCATTTCATTTTTATAAAAGCATGCCAGCTAACTGAATGTGGGCATATAGGTGAGAATCTGTTGCAACTCATGTCTACCTTCCATAAAACCATTGTTGCTACAAATGACCTTGATATGTATGCATTTGACATTCAGTTTGTTTATTTCTACATGGTTTTGTGACATTTTTTTTTAGATAAAAAAAACTGATACGATTTTGTGCAGTTTCAAATACTTACAAAATGAAGTAGAAAGAAAACGTATGCTCCTTTGTCAAAAGATTTCAACTCTTGCTTCTTTTATTGTTGTTGTTTGTTTTTTGCAGTAAGTGTAGCATTTGGACCAATCAGACACACAATTTTTCATTAAATTGAACAAATCAATTATTCATTAGATGAACAAACATTCACAGACCCCTCACCCAATAAACATACTGGGTGCCAAGATGTCTGTGAACGAGGTCCAGGCCCCTGGTTACCATGGCAACCATGATACCTTTGCTAGACCAGATAAACTTTACGACCTAATGGCATGTTGAGAGTTCTCCCTCTCACTACATTTTCCATAGGAAAGACACACAATGCACAGCAAAATGGACTCTTCTCTAATTAATTCATAGGAAAACCTTTCTATGAATGAACACACATATCCTCAGGTCATTGTGTATACCATTACTGTTCTTGTATATTGTCTTTTGTATTGTATACTGTTTTATGCATGTTATGATAGATCACTAGTTAATATAACCTCACCTGTATCATGTTTGGTCTCTTTGAATTCGTCTTCGGATGATCTAATTGAGAGTGCATATTACATGTTGATACCTATGCAACATATTAATGTTCTAAGAATCTTTACTAGTTTGTGCATCAACACCCAATCGAATTACATATGTGAAATACCATGCTTGGAGACAAAGAGTCGTAAACTTTCTCTCCAAAAGTTCAAGACACCATTGGCTCTTTGATCCCCCGGAGGTGTGAGCTCAATAGGAGCTCAATAGGAGATAAAGCTCTCACATCAGTGACCCACCTCGGTCAGTCTGCGGTTCTGCTAGATACGGAGAAGATGAGGATGTGAGCTAGAAGTCTTCTGTACCTTAAGTCTGCGCCAGGCCTCGGCCTTGACTTTCCATTCACCAAAGATCCTAGGATCTCAGCTGATGTCTCTCTTAGCTCTTTTTCACTTTCCACTGGGAAGAAACTCCCATCAAGTCTCATTTGCCCTTTCCCATGCATGAGTGATTGTTTGTTTGTTTGTTAGACTAGTTTGTGTTAGTGTTCAGTTAATAAAACTCTTGTGCACAAATTTACTTACCTTACTACATGCTCTAATGCATTAATACTGTATGAAAGTATTTTCTGTGGCCACGGAAAGATCCTTTCCTAGAGTTTATATGAATTTACACTGAATGTTCGTTGGACGAACAGATTGGTTGATGGCGATTTAATTCTGCTACAGTTACTACTGGCAGCTGATATAAATAATTGTAATTAATAATAATTAACTGTAATTATTTATATACATTTCCCTTTTGAGCTAATTTGCTACATAAGTGTGCCTTATAAAAGTTGATAGCCTATACTCCCTGTCTTGCATTGTAAATGTGTAAAATGTGTAATGAAAGAAAGAAAGTCTTTCTGTCTGTTACTATCTATTTACTGCCTTTGAAATAATTTCTCCATACCCATACCTTTCCACAATGTGATATGAATAAATGTTCCTGTTGTTATATTACCAAAACACTGCAGATATTGTAGCTAGAGTGGAAATTTATTAACAATTTATCTATTTGTGAAGAGTAAATTGGGCTTAATTAAATTTATTAAACTTGGTTTTATTTGTAGTTTTACTGAGAGACCATGTAAATTACTGATTCATTGAGTGTAATAAAAGTTCACATTTCAGCATGCAGGTGTTGCTATAATTCCGATTACATACATTTTTTGTCATAAAAAGTGTTAGATAAAACTCATCCACAGAGAACACAAGAATCACTCTTCAATGCATATATCACAGGCATGATATGTGAGTTATTGTCAGCCATTTACATACACAACAAACCAGTTATATTGCTATTTTGATACTTAAACACATTTAAATGTTCAGTGTGAAAAGGTGTGTCTCTTTAAATTATCAGGAAGGTTAAAGGGATAGTTCACCCAAAAATGAAAATTTGATGTTTATCTGCTTACCCCCAGGGCACCTACAAGATGTAGGTGACTTTGTTTCTTCAGTAGAACACAAACTGAGACTTTTAACTCAAACCGTTGCAGTCTGTCAGTCATATAATGCAAGTGGATTTCTTTTCAGTTACTGAGTTACCCTGAATGTCCCTCTACAATGTTAGTTTTGAACAATAACTACTGTTTACTGCTTTTGTATTTAGTGGACTTAGCAACAGTCTACAAGAATTCTGTGTGTTTTAAAGGCCTCGTAGTCATTCTTCTGATGAGTGAGTTTGTTGTATAGTGTAGACCATAAGACGCAAATCTCCTGCAATGGATGCTATTAGATGATCTTGTTTTACAAGCTCAAAGCCAAGGTAGCAGAATGTTCTGGTGAGGAGCACTGTGGAAGAGACAAGAAGAAGTCACAACTTCTCAAAAATGCATCAGCTTTTATAGGCTAGAAGATTTATGTCAACCCCTCTGGTGAAATGTGAGTAATGTTGTCATAATAATGTCTTAAAACACAGTTGATAATTAGGAATGGTGTAATGTATTGTGGTTCTTTGTAACTGTAACTGTAAGACCCAACCCAACCCATTCCCAGCAAATCAAAACCACTCATCCTGAACTTACATTTATCAGGCCTGTTCTTCATGAACCACACAAATACATGATTGGTCTTCAGTTTCTCCTCTGCAAACTCCAAAACAGCAGTGAGCCTTCAGGATT